CTGTGTCGACGGACTCAGCAAGTTTGCCCATTTCATCCTTTGTGCAAGTTCTCTCGCATCTCAGAGAATCTATCGGTTATTTTTAACCTGTGTCTCAAAGATACCCACATGTTAAATACCATCATTACGGATATGGATCAAAATTCCTTGGTGTTTTTGGCGTGCGTTCATGACCCGCCTGCATGCAGACCTTAATATGACCAATGCAAACCACCCACAGGCAGATGAACAGACACAGAGCGTCAACCACATTCTTCTCCAGCACTGTAACTTTGTGCTTTGAAATATCCAATTGGTTAGCTTTCGCTTCTTCTTGATGCTGAGTGGGTTCATAATTCAAGAGTACCCTGGCCTACTGGCTCTCCCGCATTCCTGGTCTACACAGAGGAGCCCCTCTCCGTTCATGGCCTAAACCTGGTGGTACAGATTTAGCAGCCACCTCCGTAATGAAGGGGATAAGAAAAGAGAGACAGTCACTCAATTATGGCAAGTGGTGGTCTGTTGGATTTCGAGCCTGGAAATTTGGTGTGACTCAGCAGGCTTTGAGAGGTGCGCCTGAAGGTAACCAGACGAAACAGCGTGCGGCCAGGTAATTTGGACCTTCTGCGACTTTTCTAGGAATTGATGCTCTGTGCTTCCTGATATTGTTGAAAGCTGAGGTGCCCCAGAGCCACTAATATTCGGTTTCAAAAAAAATTGCTTGTATTACTCTTGCACTTGCTGCGCATACAAATGACTTGTGTAGTCAAGGAGGATTCACAGAAAGTCGTGTGCGTGGTCGGCGCTAGGACTATTGGACGCCGAGGACACACTAAAGTAGAGTTTCTAGCGAAATGGGCAGGGAGCGGCATCCTCCGATGTTGACGGAGAAACAATTGCAGGCTCCGTTGGCTGCGGGAAAATTTGCAGCGTTGTTTGGTTGGCAACGTTAGTGGCCGTGGAGTTAGTGTTCTATTTCCTTGGTAATTGTTTTTCAGGCAGCTCTTGCTCCCCTTATAATAGATACATTCACAAATGGGTGTTGGTTAAAAGTTCCTGCATATATCAAGGTGTTCTCTAAACTCAGATTTATGCGCGGGCACACAGAGCTATTTTTGTTTCTACATTATTGTTGATGCCCCTTCGGGGCTTTGAGAGAGATTATGCCGCATGCATAGGTTTTATTGGAACGTAGGAACGCTCCATGAGGCGCGGCGTCTGCTGGGCTAGCTATTTGATTTGATCCACTCATCTTGCTCGGCTTTTTTTGCTTTGTGTAGCAAAAGGCTCACTAGTTTTAGAGGTTGGTCGACAGCGAACCATCATGCCGCCGCCGTGCTGTTGGTTCATCCCTCGTTCGTTATCGGCGAGTGTTGTCAATGTGTGTGTGTGTATGTATTTATTTCCTACGGCGTCAATTAGGTGATACGAAGCTTTTCTCGCCCGATCTCATAATTTTTTGGTGGGGGAGACGGGGGTTCCTACCTGCATGGAGGGTGGGGAGATGCCGGAAATTCTTCCTTATTTCTGCATGCAGACATCCTTGACGCACAGAAATGTCAGGTGAGGGCATGTTTCAAAATGGGAAAAGAAGATGTAGCATGCTAAGGCACGCTTAAACATCTTCTAGCAATCAATCTCTTTTAAGCTAAGGTTTAGCAAGGAAGTAACCAATTGGCCTGGCTGTTCGTGTACCTTATCTAATGTAGAATACTGAGCTTGATATAAGCAGACGCGCAACTGTGTGCTGTTTCCTAGATTCCTTGTGTAACCAGACGTGTAGTCTGGGATTGCATAGTGAATTCAGCTGTGCTCACCATGGCAGTCTCTCTCCCGTCATATGGTACTCTGAGGAACGCGGGCGGGGAGAAAGGGATGATTCTCTTGCTAAACACTCGGTGACTTTCTATCAAGCTTATACTAAGTGTGAAGCTAAACGTATTCATGCGGAAGTAGATGGGGCGCTACCACAGTACCATTCCAGTAATGCCGTACGTAGGCTTCTCCTGTTGGTGTGACAAAGGTTATCTTGCACATTATTCCGTTATTATATCTATATGTATTTCACAGTACAGCTAACATGTGGGCTCCTCAAGAAGCATTTCAGGTGCTCTTGACTGACCTACGAAACTAGCGTTTGGAAACATGGACCAGAGAATGTTTCAGTCTCAGTCAATTGTTGGACAGCTTGAGCATGACGAAAAACAGAGCGCTCTTGAACCCAGCCTTATATAGCTAGGACTATTAAATCACTTTCAGGTTACTCAATTCCGGGCCAAAACATGAGCTTGCAGTAAGACGAAGTCTGCACTACATTCTCCTGTAAGTCTTGGAACAGATTGGCTGCGGCCATCTAACCCCTGGATCCATTAAGCCCAGCAGAACAAACCATTTAACAATTTTCTACCAGAGTGCTTATTATATGCGAGTGGGGATTTAGAAATCCTTTGTACCACCACTGTCACCTCTACGTGATTAGTCCAAGCACCGTAGGAACTTTGGTCAACGTAAATACCCACGAAATATACACAATTATCTCGAACACACTTTCGACATAGTGTAAAATTCTGATATTCAATAGTTCAGTAGACCACAACTGTCTTTTTTAAGTCCCAAATTGCTTCGGACTGCCATGCGATTACTAAAATGAGCATCAAAACAATTTTTTTGCGTGCATAAACATGCGCAAATGAATATACCTTGCCTCATCAGTAGGCTTCGGTGGAAGAAGATATGTACAGCATGCGCATGTCAATGTTTCCCCCCTAAGTATCCTCGTGTGCCAGCTCGGTTGCTGTTTCTTGTTGGGAATCTTGGTATGGAACTCCCGACAGTGTCACGACGCTTTCTTCTTGTTGCAACTCCTGCTCACCCTGGGAACTTCCAGCCGTTTCTTCTAAAGCAGATGACTCATCAACACGAGGGTGTTCTTCGGTGACCTCATTGAGTGAGCTGGCCTCATCCTCTAGTGCTGATGCATGGACCACGGATGTGCGGTCCATTGTTGCTTGCATTTGTTCTCCACTGATCAGCGTGCATGGAGAAATGTCTCGTGCATCCTCAGAAGCCAACGCATCCTCAACCGTTCCTTGGTAAATATGGGTTGTTTCATGATAGTCAGGGGGAGTTGTATACGTGTCGTCATTTTTTGTATTCGCCCGTTCACTGTCATTTTCAACATTCATATCCGCTTCTGCTTCCATTTCTCCTGGCGACACCTCTGTATCTGTCTGTTCTTTGCGAATGCTTTGCAGCAGTTCTTCAAGCGAGTTGCCCTGCATCCTAAGTGCGGTATCAATTTTCTGGAGTAACACTTCCTTTTCCCTTAGTTCTTTTTCTAGTTTCATGAGCTCTGTTGCACGGTCATGCTTACCCCTGGCCGCCTTGTCTACAAATTTTCCGCTAACTTCAAATACCAACACACCGGAAAGCCACTCAAATGCAACTTCGTTGGCGTTAAGAGTGAACTCCTGAACCGCAAATCGAGGGCAGCTTCAACATGCTTTAAGTGCTATCTTGGACAAACAAGCAACTTAAATATTCAGCCAACGCGCTTCTTCTAGGGCACACCGATGCCTGTATCACCTGTTCAGGCATTTTTCTTGCCGTTTGCTCTGGCTTTCTAGATACGTGTTTATGTTGAAATGCTTAGCGTGCAAGCCGAAATAGAAGAACCTGGCAAAGCTATTCGGCATTGAAGTACGAGCTTACCCTAGTGTTGTTGAACACAACATCCCTGCTAGCCTCCTCAAGGGAAACTGCAGATACTTCGGTCATCCCGTCTAACCAACGATACATTACCTACACGTTCAAGAAGATGTGCGATGGTTTAAGTTCGATGTGGCATAGCGCTTGACACTCGGTACTCCTTCCACTGAGCAAGTGATGGGAACTATTCACTTGCTTTGATCTTTAGTTAAATGCATTTCAAGAGACTACTTAGACCAAATACCGCGACAAGTGCACCCTCCAACTTCCAACTGCACTATAGGCTTTACACTAGCTCAAAACACTCCAAAATCTACTCTCTGTGAAGTTCCTAATGCGTCAGTGGACCAATGCTCACTTGCGGATGGCGACAGGAACGTTCGGGTAAGTTGGTAGCGGAGTGCACACACACAGTAATTGTCAGCTCGCGGCCCCTCACGTCTTCAACCGAATCAAAATCATCAATATCTTCTATGCGGCGGGCCACTAGTTCATCCTCGCTGAAGATAAGTAGGACAAGCCTGATTTGCAATATACGAAGTACTAAAAGTCACGCGCCCAACCAACACAGGCTCAGGAGAGTCAGTTCGATCCGAAAGACACAAATATAAGGCTACAGCAACTTTTATTATCATCCACTAAGTTTATAGAAAGTGATCTCATGAATTGAAACGGTTGCTGTCTAGGTGAAGGAATAGGATTAACTTTTGATCCGTTCATTGTACCCATCCAAGTCCGTTCTTGGGGGCCCAACTTTTATATCAATGGAGAGGATCAGGATCCCTTTTTTCTGCCCCTTGCAATCGAAGATGGGAAATGGCTCGTTTTCAATTGGCAACAAGCTACGGATTGTTTCGAGGTACACGTACGCTTGCCCCACTACCTTGAACATGAGAAACAAACGAAAAGGCAAGGAAAGGATAAAAGGCCTAGGGTGACACACAAGGACTCATGCAAAACTTCGTTGACACAAGCCTGCTGCCACCTTAGCATGGTCCGTTGCCCCCTTCCGTGCTCCACAAGTTCATTTGCCACTAAACTGCATTACATGTGAGACTTTTTCGCAATCCTAACGCACTAACGCATTTTAGTCTACATGAATCATTCGCCGATAACAGCATACGCCCAGTAGTTTTTTCAGTCGCACACCGCATCGCTCCTGCACTTTTAATGCATTCACACTGATTATTACTAAGGAAATAACTAACCTGGTACGACTCGGGATCTGGTGCAAACGGATCCGCAACTTCATCTGGTAAAGTCAGTGCCTTCCCATGCTCAGGTGTCCAGTTGGCATATATTTCCCTCATTTCAAACACCTTTCTTTCAAATAGGTCCAGAGGCCAGAGCTGTGTCAAGTCTGAGTCCATTCTATCCACCCTGATCATTATTTCAGATCTCTGCATTACTGTCCCTCCTAGTGTTCCTCTTGCGCCCCCTCCTATTACGTCTCCCCGTACAGTTAGCTTGGGGGAAAAGAATGCACCGACTCCAAGCTCTTGTGCTATCATATTTGCCTCATCCACCAATAAAGATGTTCTTGTCATTACTTCCTCTAATTCAACTCGAGCCGCCCGTTCTTCCTCTCTTCGTGCGTCGTCCTCTGCCTTTTCCCTTTTTATCATTAGTTCCCTTGCGTTTAATTCTTCCTCTTTCTTCTGTAGCTCTCTCTCTATCTCTCGTTTTTCATCCTGTAGCGCACGTAGCTTCTCGTGGATGACTTCTTGTGTCTCTCCACTGGCTAGTAGCTCCTGTTCTTTCTGCTCTAGCCTTTTAAGTAAAGTCTGCCTCTCATGCATTAAGGCTTTCTTTCCACGCTCCAGTTGCCTAAGCATGTCATGAAACTTTTCTTCCTTTGCTTTGTCTTCCTCGCTCTGCTGTGGAGGGCCATATACACTCATTTGATCCTTCATGACCTCCTTCATCGCCTCCTCCCATAAAGGCATAGACTTGTCCATGTCAAATGGGTCGAAATATACATACAAATTGTTGTGACCGAATAAAATTCTGTCTTTGTGCTGTAGCTGCCTCTCGTCTCCTTCCTGCATTTCCATTCCATTTACCATTGTCTTACCTGTGGCCTTTAAGAGCACAATGTATGAAATGTCTTCTGGATCTTCCGCATCATTTTGAATTCTTTTGCAGCTTACAGTGGCATGTCCTGACACCACTCCTAAGCCACCAATGCGGAATGTGGGGACATCCTCTCCTTCAATTTTCCCAAAGCTACTTATTCCCACTCTTAGCACGCACACTATCTTTCCAGTAAGGAACGGATCTTCATTTAGATTCTGCAGTGTCGGTAGAGTTAATTCTATCTGCTCTTCTAGTTTCCCCGTAGCGGCTGCTCTTTTCTTTTCCTCCTCAACCTTTTGCTGCCAGGACATCTGCAACACCAACGGTAACAAGAAATAATAGAGTGCATCTCTGCTGCGTTGCTTAGTTCGCATTCTCGCAATACACATCGAAACGTAGTTCTAGGACGGCATTGCCAACACTGCAGCAGTGACGCTGAAAGGGGCATACTGTCATTTCCTCCATTGCTCTCTTGTTCGCCTCTATCTCCTCTTCATACTGCTTCCGTATGGCATCCAGCATGAGCGGATCTGGCTTGGTGCCCCTTGCTGGGCCTGGTTGGGCACCACCCATAGCCTGTACAAGCGAACACACAGAACACGTAGTCATGTAATGCCTCATGTTTAAGGCGGCATATACATGCGGGTGCGCATGAGGGAAAATGTATACATGTGCGCTCACTGCCGCCCTATATGCCTGGTTCTTCAATAAATTGTTCATTGTGTGTTTTGCTACCTCCACATCTGTAGTTCATGCAATCTGAGGCTGTGTTTCCTTCGAATAGGCATAATCAGCCTGAGACGTATTGTGATCTCTACCTTTTTAAGCCGCTCATTTTCTTCTCTCAACTCCCTGATGAGCTTTTCCAGAGGATTTTCGTTTACCACGGCATTATTCTTTATTTGCTTAACTCTGTCTGCGAGCAGACGCTAAGCTGAGAGGTGAAAATCGAGTTCCCACCCAACCGGTCAACAATTATCATTTCTCCTCTTCCACTCCGGTGCAGCCCGAATGTTCGTTTCTAAGAAGCATGTGTAGACTTATGGGGCGAGAGTGAGTATACGAATGTTAGCATGCTGGGATATTTAGCCGATGACTTTTACCTGCATAACGGAGGGTGCTTAGGGTTTCTTCGTAATTGACAGATGCGGGAGAAAGCGCAGCAATCATGCATGTTTTGCTGTTGCCTCCGAGGGCTGTTTGCAATATACGCGTTAGCGCCGAGTCCCGGTAAGGTACAACCTGAGCTTAGATATAGCACCAGTGCATAGTACGCCTCCAAATGCAAGCAGTAGATTCTCTAGAATGCCACGTAGCTCCCTACTGAAACCAACACTTCCAAATATGTGTTCCAGGTTCACTTGTGTTTCGCCTCCTTAGTGTAAATGTAGACATCTGTGTGAAGAGGCATTAAGTGTAAATGTAGACACCTGTGTGAATAGGCATGGAGGTACATTTTTCTGCAGAAACATATAAAGTTTAGGTTTTGTCACCTGTCCTGGCTTAAGCTTCCCAACCGCTTTGTCTGCAAGTGCAGATATAACGTTACCCAGCGCACTAAGGCTCTGGTTAATAGCACATCCTTCTTTTAGTCTGTCTCCAGTGGCCCCGGTAGAGCCAGCCCGCTCGCTTCCTGCCAGATCCACCAGGTTAATTTCGGAGAGCTTTTGTGAAACTGGTTCCCCTGATGATGCTGAGAGAAAGCAGCATTTGTGCATGCACCTAATAGGATGTCCAACAGTGATGGAGGTGTGTTGATGACACTGGGGTAAGCTCATTGCATCACAAAGTTCAATCGGTTCGCATTGCCTCACAGTCAATAGTTACTTGACGAAAAAAGATTTGCAGAACCGTATGAGCGCGGGACGACGTTGCATTCATCAATGTAGCACCAACCGTACGATTGGCTGTGCCTGGAAGGGTCCTCAACGCACACTCTCAATGTAAGATCTTTACGGAGTAAGCTGATACAACTCTGTGTTACGACCCGGAGCCTAACAAAAGTCAAGTGCTTTGCTCGACCGGGCATTTTCTTAACTCTAGCCAATGAAGTAGGGGCAGTCCCCATTGGTCACTCGAGAGTGGTGTGAATGCTAAACGGTAACTCCATGCGTATCGTTCTAAGCACACCTTCGTCTAATTTGGCCTTGATTTCTTCATAGGAGTTCACAGGGCACTTGCTAAGATTTTGCACGAATGTGCCAAGTTGAGGCGTATGCCGAATTTTCAGGCCACCTTTAGGTCTCTTTTCCATTGGCTGAAGCAGGTCTTGCACTTGTTCATTGTATATCTCCAGCATACTGACTGAAACTTCACCTCTGATATTTGGGTAGATATTTTGCTCTATCCGCTGAAATATTTCTTCACAGGCACGGACGATGATACCTTTATTGGCACCGTACCCAACCATGGAATAGCTCTTTCCAGAACCCGTTTGGCCATAGGCGAACAGGCACGCATTATAGCCCTCGAAGGCATTGTTTAGGACGTCCTTCCCTATGTCTTGGTACACTCTCTGCTGGTCTGCATACTTTGCCAAGGTGGGCCTACAATATCCCGAATTCTCCACCTCAAACCCATCATGGGACCAATATGAGTAATCGAAAGAAAACGTTCTGGTTGCATTCCTTCCTCCATCATTGTTTTCAATTGTGGTGCTTTGTCCTTCCATGGATATGCACAGGAGAGCATTCATGTTTTTCTCCCTGTCGTTGAAGGGCCGAACTCGCACTGCCACCTTAACGGATGACATTTTTGCATTACCTCTAACGCAACAAAACAATCAACTAATTCTCGGTTCTGTGGGTAGCCAATGAGGGGCAGGAGCATGCACTAACGGTCTTTATCCCCCCCACCGTCACTGATTTCGCAAAGTGCATGATACCTATCACACAGGACGCTGGTAGCAACTGACAAGCAAAATGCCTGTGCAGCAGGAAAATAGCATGCCAAAAGCTCCGCTATGCTTCCAGAGCGCAGGCACAGTTCCATTACATTGATCCTGGTACCTAGCAAACGGGGCCGCTGGCTGTGGGGCTGCCCACCAGACACTGCATGCATGTGGGTACCATAGTGTGGCTAATCGTAAGGCGCGAAGTGCAATCATTCGAATCGTTATTATGTGCTTGGGCCTCTGTCGAAAGTTGTTTTCTGTGGCGCCGCTCATGGTTATGCATCTGAAGTGCGGAGTGCATAGCATTAACGTATGTCTGGGTGCAGAAACGCTCCATCTGTCTCAGTAGGGAGACACTTGACCCCAAAATGCAATACTTTATAGCAACCTATTGAGCTTCTTTCGAAAATAATCCCCTCCTCTCCATGCCCTCGCCCCTCAGGGATCCAGCATGAGGGAAGATGGACAGTCAAGGTGCAAGTTACTGCACCCTCCAACCACTTTGAGAATTTAGAGCTACATGCAAATCGAAACCATGCCACGTCCACAAAATTTTGGTTTCTGCTGTATTGGGCGACGTCTAATTTGCAGCCAATGGCGTTCAGGACTAGTCGAACCAGAAATTTGGTACTTTACTAATTTTTTTTGAACAGATGTCGTGAGGTAGAAATTAGCTTAATGTAGCTTAGCCCGCTACAGCTCTCTCCAGTATCTCAAAGCATAGCCCGCATTTTCACTTTTGGGCACAGCTGTTGGCCCCAGAGATCATCAAGAGGCTTCATAGAACTCCACTGCACCCCTGTCCTGCCGCATCTGTATGCAAGCTGATCCTCTGCTATACTATGGCCACCTTCCACGGCTTCGATTCTTAATACATTCGTTTTTGGACGTGGGGATTCCCGGCGAGCTCGGGTGCTGCAGCGTCCACCACGATAAGGTAGCAAGGATCTTCAATGCTATCCCATTGCGAGCGTGCGGAGAACCCCCAATCTATAATCGCCCAGTTTGACCTTCCTGAATCCCCATAAACATTTAACTTAAGGAATAACTCACTGGTTTTTCTCTGGTATTCATTGCGAATAATCCTTCCTATCACATTAGGGAGTAAATCTGTTACCACGCTCACTCGCCAGACTACAACCCACTCGTAAATCAGCCGCCAGCACCAATGACACAAATACTTGGCACTAAAAGCGACTTGCTGTTCCATGAGAGCAGCTTATTTCACGTAAGATGCTTAAAAGCACATTGCTGAGCATTCGAAAATTGCCCGTGCATGTATTCCTGTATGCAAGCCAACCATGGAGCCTGCAGGAAATAGCTTCCCCATTGGCCCAGTAAATGTCAGTGCCACTTTAGCCGCAAACAACTTACTGAAAAAATGCTTGTTATCTGGTCACTCCACAATCGTACGTACAGCTACACTCGATTTGCCTGCTCAGCATAATTAGGGAGAGTAGCACTTAATCATAATTAAGTCTGGATTTGAAATTCTTTTCCACAATCGTTCTAGTTATGCACAACTCTTTTCCTCTGTTACATCTTTGCACAAACGTGTAAGGGCTGAGGTCCCAAATAGAATACAAGCATGCAGAGGCCCTAGTTCCGTAAGCGTTCGTGCTATGAGCAGGGCCTCGACTACGAAGAAAGCAGAGTGAGGAACAATTGTACAGCTAGCTGACTCTAGCTGGCCAGTGAGACAAGCCATTTACAGGATAGAGTGCTTCCGGCATATGGCCACACTGCTGCAGGAAGAAATGCAAAAACAATGCGAGTGAAAAGCACAGTGGGTATCAGCCCATGGAAAGAAATCGTAAGGCAAAATGACACACACAGTAGCCAAAAACGAACGAGGAATCAAACTAACATAAACGCGGCGGGGAGATGCCTGGCTGTCGTCAGACCGCTGAAAAGTGTGAGCCTCATGCTACGAGAAGATAGAAGACAATGAATTTTGCGTGAAGAAAACGAAGTACTCACTGGTTCAACAGTGCCTCCACGCCCCCTACAGCAATGAGTGGATGCCAATATAACCGACACATGCAGCTCACTCGATGTCCAAAGCCTAAAATGAGGCATGAATGCAAATGGAGACACACGGTACCTGTGAGTAGCTCAGCATAAACCTGAGTGTAGAGAACACCTTTACGATCACATCATCAGCGAGTATTTTTCTATTATCAGCCATTGATATAAAAAGGTGTTTCAGACACGCCACTTGCAAGAAATAGGTAGCACCAGGCAAATATGGCTAGTCTTGTTCACGCAGATTAGCGTTGTTAGCCGACCACAGTCTCGAACTTTTCCGGAAGCAGCGAAGCCTGGAACTACTTCTCTGTTAATCTATAAAGTCAAATTTCCCCGACATCATAAATTTCCATTAATTGTCTCCTCGGCCTTCAATAGTCTCGGATTCCGACACTTATACGCGTCTCTGAAGGTCATCCGCCTCCATGAGGGTCATCGTGCTTCGGAGCAAGGTCCGCGAACAGTTCAAGGCGTCTTGCAACTGCCTTAGGGAGCCAGTAATGATGGCTCAGTAGCAATTACAGCTTTAAGGAAATTGGTAGAGTAAGAAAAAGCGCCGATTTCTCAGCGAACAACAGGCATGTAGTTCTAGCGAGCTGGCCCGGTCTTCATCCGGTCACCTCGGGGTGCATCTGGCAAAGCCTGCCGAACCACCAGAATCAAATATCCAGGGTCGAAACATAGAGCGAATCGCTACATCCGAGTTCCGTTCTTGTCGCTGCTGAATTTTGCACATATTCGTGTCAAATGCATAACTGTTCTCTTAACCCCTGCATTCCTAAGGGTGGCAGATGACCCCGGAGTCCCCAGTTTGTTTTGAGCTATAGCAACCCCTATTCAGGACTTTGCCAAGATTAACGGATACATGGGTGTCGAAAGCATAGGAATCATGCGATTCCGATGAAAAACGTGTATCATTGCAAGCAAGAGCGGCTCAGCTGCACAGTTGTGAATGCCTAGGGCGTCGTGAGAGCGCATCGGCGGGCATCCCTTTCATGCCTGTGAGATACTTTACTGTAAAAGTCGTACACGGAAAGTATTTGGAAGGCACAGCACAGAGTGACGGTGTGATTGGAGAGTAAAATGACGCCTACTTTAATAGATATAAAGACTTTCACGCCCCAACGCACTGCCAGAGCTCCTCTGCATTAAAATACAGTTATTTGGTTTTGGTGAAGTAGTGAAAATAATGACCAATAGTTTGGTGTTGTGGAAAGCCCGGAGCCCTAGTGAGAAAGAATGAAACCCACCTCCCTGTCGGTAGCTTTGGTTGTGGTGAAGAAATGAGTTTATTGTCGGGCAAAGCGAGTACTGGAGAAGCCTAAGCGGTTGATGAGCGTTCTTGCTCTGGCACCATTCTCCTCTATGGTCACAGAGTACACTGGTGACCCCTTCGCATAAAGGCTCTACGCCACCTTGTTAGGACATCGACTTTGCCCCTCCTTAGCAGGGATAAAGTAGTTGCTGCAGAGAAGACTAGGAGTAGCTTCTTCCCGGGGCTTTTTGGTACATAATCTCTACAGCACACAGGGGCGACCGCTTGCATGCCTTTCATTGGGTCGCTCATGGCATACTTCACCTTACGTGATAATTTAAACGTTGCAAGTCTGGATTGAATGCTATCAGCATCCAATCCAGAGCTGGAGTGACGCTTAGCTGTCGCAGCATTTCCAATCCTTTCGCTCTACCATCCGCCAATCCGCCTGAGTCCTAGGGACTGAGCCAACGAGGATCCCGGGAGGCAGCATTCTGCGCTGTCTCCGCGGGTAAGAGGTCCTCTTCACCTCTAGTGTTAAAGAACGCTGGCACTTCTCGACCATTGATTCAAATCAGTATCAGCGCAGACATGGCCTATGGTGGGCCGCGAATTGCGGCACTCTACGCTGTAGCCTCCTGTTAGTGCATCCCAGCCTCCATGAGTGGGCTTTGTGTCTCTTTCTACATTGCCATTGCTCGCCAACCAGCCTATTTCCACTCAGCACAGTCTTGTCTCGAGTTCTTGACCTTTCGCACGCGCCTGCAGTTCCATAGTATCCGACTCAACTTCCCACTATAGAAGCAGGTGCACGATGGAGGGCCTTCAGGAACTGCTCCGGACCATGGATTTTTTGAGAAGGCTTGTTTTCATCTTCTGCCGTTTCTTAGGGCTGGCTGACATAGCTCCGACATCCATGGCTCAAGATCCCGACTTTGCTCTTCCTTTTCCGGCAAAACTCAATAGCTGCATCCATTTGCTCCTGAAACATCAGGCATCTCATCAGTTGGAAAAGCCTCATTGGTCAGCTTTAAAATCGCTGAGTGGCTCTTCACTCTGCGACTATATATAATGACCTTTCGAATGGACATGAGATACACCACTGACGAAGTAGTTATATGCGTACGGCGAGTCTTTTGCTGGCCAACGTTTCATACTTCTTGATATGTCACTCAGCTGCTAAATTTTTGTTTTCAGCTTTCTCAATTCTCTCAAAGCTTGCTGTTGTTCTGATCTTGGTGTTAACCAACAAGTTAGGGTTTGCATGAAGGATTGAGGTCCAGCATTCCATGCAAGCACACGACTTCCTCTGCTTAAAAGGAGTCACCATTGACATGTGCCTCCAAAATGAATGCCGCAATCACTCACCTCTCTATGTCTAGGGATAAATGGAGGGGTACATCTCCAACTGGCTGATGAATTCTTCGAGTGCTTGCCCATCCATACGGTTGCCATACTCTCCAGGGCTGCGTAACCTCGTCGACGCATCCACAAACATTCGACCAGCTGACAAAGCGTGCCTTAATAGCAGCTGTGAAGCTCCTGCGCTCACAACAGCTTGTAGACCGGCCTCTGACGCCCCAAGAGGCGCTCTGCACCAGTCTTCTTGCCGTAACCATGCAGCATATTTTCGTAGTCTGCTGCTTTTAAGCATTATACTATTAACTTATCAAAAGACTTCATCAAAGGCACACAACTGGTCTGGGGACTTGATATCCGAAGGCATCCAATCCACAGCCAGTGGATGAGTGATGCTACTAAGCGTAACGGTGCATATGTGGTCTCTATAGGGAGATACCTGGTTTATGACGCAATACCGAGTCAAAAGAAAGCTATTGTTTTCGAAATTCCTATTGACTTCCCCTAAGCTCGCCCTTAGGGTTTCTTCTGTAAAAATAGAGGGACAACTAGGGTGTGCTTGGCCACACCCTTCTAATTATTCCTGAAGTTCACACCCCATTACGCTCAGCATGTAGCGCACACGCACACCACACTCCGGACTCTAGTAAGGAATTAGCATTACCCTGAGATAAGTAAGATATAGGAAATACAAGTCAATCGTTCAATTCCTTACCAACTCTTACGCAGATCTGAGCAAAGTGTAGTAGGAAGTGCTCTAGTTTCGCTGAGTCAGCTACATACTGGTAGGGCTCGTTTCGTTACTGAGCAAGAAACTAATTCTAAGCTGAAGACATCTATTCATGCACAGCAAACAATTATGTGTTAATATTTTAAAGGGTTTCCGAGTTGTTATCTGGCGCGAGTTTGCAGTTCTACCTGGGATACGCCCTTCTTCGAAATTTAGGAGTGACACAGGCGAACAGAGAAATTGTCAAGTTTTTCACGAGGTCCCCTATTCCTCAGCTAACCAAATACGGCAAAAATTTACTCAAGTGCACAAAAAATTGATTGGAAACAATCCTATCTGCGGGGAGTACATTTCGTCCGACTCGCCGTTGCAGTGACTACGCTAACAAGGGGAAGAGTTCTCGCTTTTTCAGTATGTCGATGACCCAAAACTGCGAAATTGGCGAAGTTTAAGCACAAGTCAAACAAGCTGCATAATTAATTCCTGCATAAGATCTCGGCTTCCGGCTACCTTTCGCTGGAATGTAGGCCCCAGACGGCCGCAGTTCTCTTGGAGCTGGAGTAGCAGTCACAACAATCCATTCAATGAGTGTATTTATTGTTTGTGTCTGCTCGACTTTTAGTTTGATGCAATAAGCTGCGAAACGGCCCTTACTGGTCGTTTTTGCCCTCTCCTGCTCCTCCTTCTTGCAGTCCAAACCACAAGCCCCCCTCTTCAGCTCTTCCCATTCTTTGCTGCTTTCTTCTAGCTTTTCTTCTAACTCATCTCTTTAGTTTGACCTTCCCTGTGGGCTGCCGCCGCTTCCTGGGACCTCTTCATGCTCCGAAGTCCCGTGCCTGTTCAACAATTAGCATCAATAGCGACAGAACAGGGGCAGCAAGATTGCCTGCTTTGGTAGTGCCAAGAAAAGGCTGGCATACGGAAACGCGAGGATGGACCCCCCGGCTTCTGGCCCTAGTCGGGCTGTGGTGACACCCCAAGAACAGCGTGCAATAGACTCAAAGCTGCAGCAAGTCCTCCGCTTACCGGGAAATGATTGCTGCGCAGATTGCGGCGCGAGGCACCCTAGATGGGCCTCTGTGAACCTCGGTAAACTCTAGACACCCATGGATCTATCCGCATTATTGCAAGTGCAGAGTAGTGGGCGTTCACAGGACATGAGCCTGGGCAGTAATCAGCATTCGAAGAAGATACTGAGGGGTTTCCTTTGCTGTGTCTCCCGATCCAGGGACTGGCGAAGAATCGGATAGTGATGGGGATATAGCCTCAGTGGTTTAGCGGCTGCATGAGTCTATTGTGTTCGCTTTCACATGGCAGGGGTAGTGATCTGCCTCGAGTGCAGCGGAGTTCACAGGAAGATGGGGGTACATATTAGCAAGGTTAAGAGCGTCACGCTGGACAGATGGACAGCACAATGGGTTGAGGTAAGGAAGAGCATTATGAAGAGAGAATACCATCAGAGACAGATGAGTAGACAAGGTCACTTATAAGATCCAAATTGCCGTTGCCCTTGTCTGCCTGCTTTTCGGCGTTTCAATCTTTCTGTCCTTTTGTCTATTGCCCCCTAGGTGGTCCCGCTTTTACCCGCTGAGCATAAAATATAGATTTTCGGCGATTATGCAGATCGCAATGCTATTATACGTGGGAGTGTGTGGTCGTTTGGGTGTGCAGGCACCTTAGGTACCTGTGGCACATACGAATAGCTAGTTTGTATGACTTAAAGGTAGATATACCTCTATGACCGTGCGCTTCGTGATTGTTTTCGTGTGCAGACACTCGAGGCCATTGGAAATGACGTGGCGAGGAAGTATTATGAGCACGCGCTGCCCCAGGATTTCAAGAGGCCGTCGCGCTCAGATGACCCGCAGTAGGCAGATATGTGCCGCGCCGCATTTACTGATGGTTCAAAGGGTTGAGTTAGCATCGAGGGTTTCGGGTTTCAGGTTGGACATCTGCCTTCTTTCCACCATACCTTTTACAGATTTAGGCACATCATGTGGCTTGTCTTCCAACGACAGTTCAAAACCATACAGGGATTGCATGAGGTATACTCACAACCGTTCAACTTTGGGCGTGAAGTCCACATGTACACTTTTTGCCGCCAGGGGATACGGTGTTCGTTTGCTGTCGCAGCTCTATTGAAAATTGGATTCGCACAAAATACGAGCAAAAAAATTACGCACCTAAAGATATCCCAGAGCCATGGACTCTCGTCGCTGAAGGCAAGCCTGCACACCACTTCCCGTCGCCTTCACAGTTTTATGTTTAGCCTTGTTTGTATATATCTTCTTCTGCTTTTTCCTGTGGTCTGAATTCTTGTGCGTTGCACATTCTGTGATAGCTGCTCGAGAGTAACTCAACGAAGCGCAGACTGCAGTCCAACGCTGTCTCATTTTTTCAGGAAAGGATCCCAAGACGGCTCTGCCTTGTGCTGCCGCAGAAAAGAAGGCTACAAAAAGCCGCAAGGATTTAAATGCGTGGGTGTTTTGGCATACGCATGACATTTTGAACAGAGAGCACAAAGAAGGCAGTTCTTTCCAGCACTATGACTCTTCCGTCAGGGGAGTTGAGACCTGTCCTCCCATTTTCCAAGAGATATCTGGCGCTATTTCGATTCTTTGAGGTTACTATGTATCTCTTTTAGGGAATCTGGAAAAGGAGCTGCCTCTGTTGGCCCCGCCATACCGTGAGTGATTTCCTCTTCTCTTACCCTGTCTTTTCCCATTCCGTCTTAGCTCTTTTTTCCCTTGCATAAGTTGTTTCCTTGTAAAGACCGGATTGGCTGTAATGTATATCACTTTATTTGTGCAAAATGCGCTTTGCCTGTACGTTGCCGTCCTGTTGATCGCCTCTTTAAGTTCCAACGAGACTTGCCTTTTGGCGGAGGTTGAAGATTTTAGCACCTTCAGCCCGCAGCCAGCTGCCGCAGCAGACACTGCGGAACCAGGTACTTCAAGAAGAGCAGCATCAACAGTTGCGGCAGCAGAGCCACAACTGAGCTCCACTGACCAGCGTTTGCAACAGGCAAAAGCAACAATAGCCCGCCTTTACGCGGCTCCAAATAAGCTTGGTGCGTCAGGTTTTTTCTAGGCTCTAGCTGCTGCGTACCCCCAAAACCTGCGAGTTTTCTCTGCTCCTTCTGTGCCGTCCACCTCATTTTTCTTCATCATCTGCTGTCTTTCCTCTTACCTCAGGTTTCGGAAATGCAGGGCAGCCACCAGTTCGCCCTGAAGGTTTAGAGAGCCTCTCGTTCTTCGACTCCCCGCAGCAGCAGCAAGGACCGATAGCAAACTGGGCTACTTGGGGTGGAATTGAGAACTCTACCACTGCACCAGATTCCTGGCCTCAGGCCCCTGGGACCACTGGGGCCCCCACAACGGTCAGTCCGTTTCTCAGGGGGTCTGCAGGATTGGCTGCTCCTTTCATCCCAGCCTTCTGCGGGGGCACTGCTGGGCCTCCTGCCACCACTTTACCGGTGTTGCCCTGTTCAACGGCAGCACCTACAGCGGATCCCTGGGCTTCCTGTGGCACCAGACTGAACGGACAGGCGACATGCAATACCACACAAGTGACCCTCACAGACGGCAATAAAAATGTGCGTCAAAAAAGTGCAGGCGCTGCTTCTTTATTCCTCGTTCTATTCTTTTAGTTGCTCGTTCGAGCTGCTCGTATTGCTGCTCCTGCTGCGGTTTTCTGCTGACTTGGGGTGGGGTACAAGGGTCGTGAGTCTCTTATGTGAATTTGTCTCTTCAATGTTCCTATTGTTTTCGCTGTATTATGCTGCCGGAACCGCAGGGCAATGATGTGCACTCCGCGTTGAGTTCTTTAGATGCATTTGCCCTGGTGCGGAAAGTGCAGCTTCCATCCGGCCAGACTTCCTCCTCGGCTCCCAATGATTCATCTCAAAAGTCGCAGCAGCAGCAGCAGCAGGTTTCCTCCCCCTCTGCAGCACCTTTACAGCAGCAGGAGCCCCTACTGCTCATCTGAGGGGCTAGACCATATTTACCGACCAGCTGCAGCAGAGCCCGCAGCTGCAGAGCTGCTGCTGCTGTGAATTTGCACCTTAGTGGTAGCGCTGGTGCGTTTCTTTGTGTCAAGTGAAAATGTTCTTTTTGTGTTTTTAGTGTGTCAAGCATCAACGCTATTACAGGTTCCCCATAGAATTCGAGCTATCCAGTTGGGTCGGTAGGAAGCAATCTACTAGCAAGTTTTTGTAGTGGGCTGTCTATTAGAGGAGACGCGAAACTTCCCTCATTGGAGGTGAGAGGGAGGGACGACAACAAATCAAAGGCGGCACAGAAGCTGCTGTTAATGCTGCTTGCCAAATGGCGGGCTACGACTTTTGAAGCGTGCATGCTGAACATACAAGGAAGAGACCTAGGTGTGCAGCTAATAGAAGGAAAAGGGCTTGCTGGATTAAAATAGACATATAGGGTGAAAATGACAACGAATATCTTCATTTTTTACAGGTTCATCAATGGGACTAGTACAGAAGAAAATTGAAGGAGTTTGCTGAGGTAAAGCATAGGGCTCCGCAGATTCCGCTTAGATGGGGCATGAGCGGGAAACGTCCCAGTGTGCTATTTTCTTCTGCGAAGGGGCAAACCCCTGTATTTTCAGCACACATAATAATTATCTGGATAGCAAATTCTAAGCTGGAATTATATCTTGACCTCACGTAGCCGCAGCACTGAAATGCCCATATATCTTTAGGGCTCTCGTCGGGGGAGGTGGGCATGCAGTTAAGTCTGAAGAGTTTCCACCTACTTGGAGTTGGCACAGCTCAGTAATTCCAGTGGAGCTTATTAGTCTGAAATTTGGTAGAAACACCTTCTCTGCCCCATGTGTAACTGCACCGCATGAGGGGGCCCCCCGGGGCTACCATGGTGTCCAGGAGGTACGACTCTCCCAGCTGTTCTCCAATTATGTTGGCAAATTATTTAAAGGTTATTTTCACTTCACTTTTTGAAGGCGGGAGTCGGTTTCTTTGGGGGCCCCAGGCATGGCTGTGGCTACGAGGGCTGCAGTTCGCTGGGCGTGGGGCCCCCAGAGGACCTCTACCACGGCAGTGCTCAGGCATTTTAGTGCTTACCCAGGGTATCCAGTGCCCTCCTTTAGAGGTTTAGTTAAGGAGGAAATTCCATCCATCACAGTAGCAGCGCCACTCGCGACATTCATGGCAGCCCATTCAGTGGCAGCACGAGCAGCAGCTCAGCAGCAAGCTCTCTTCGGTCCACCTTATCCTGTACAATCTTTCCCCATTCCTGATATGCCTGGGCAGTCCGAGCCCCGTCGTCTTGGAAGCTGTTTTCTTGACGCGCAACTATTATTGCATGACTCACAGGGGCTTCTGCCCTCTTCATATATGCTGTTTCGTCTGTCCAACTCACCGTTGCCTACCTCCTACCAATCCGAAATATTCACGTCATTTTTGGAATTTCCCTGTACGTTGGCCTCAGGCGTCACAGGAGCCGCAGGTTTATGCGCACCCCGTGATGGACAAGAAAAGCTAACGTACTACTGCTGGAACAGAAACCCCTCCTCTCGCTACCCCAAAAAGGCAAACAAAGGCGCCAGGCCAAAATGCAGGGTCATGAGGAAAATAAGAAAGCGACTCAGAACTGGAAGATAGTCACACATTCAAAAGGAACACCATGAAAAGCCTTGGGAAGTCAGGGGATACCTCATGCCAGGCGAATTTAAGCAGCTGAGCAGCCACAAGCTGAACCATAAATAGGGCCTGGGTCTCGTCATGAGGAAATTTCTGGATAATGCTTTCTGTTCATTCTCCATCATGGCCTTAATATGAGGCGAAGCGCATAAGGCCCCTGTGCATCTTCTCCATCCGGATGCAGCGGGGCAAGCGGCCATCAAAGGGGGCTACAAAACTTTTCGCAGAAATTTGACTTGATGGAGCTTTTTTCCTACGTCTTTTTGTATCATTACTTGCATCCCTATTGAGAAACTAAAGTAAAACTCGCGGGAATGCCGTCTAAACGTTAGCCTTTTCATGAAAAAGTGTCTTTAAGTCTCAGTTCGTATGAATTTTCTTGTTGTGGCTCTTTACAGCGGCATTTTGTAGCTAGGCTTGTTCATTTATTTGTATTTCGAATGTATATCGTACTGGGATGCAGATTCACGCGCATAGTAGAGGTATTAGAGAACTGAAAAAGGCGGGTCCAAGTGTAACCTCCAATGCCTTTTTTGGAAGGTCTGTGTGATTAAGTGTGACAATAAATGGAAGGGAAGGATTGCTAAGGTATGGCTCTTGAGTCCGCGGCAACCCGAAGAAAGGAACCTCCAGACGGGTCCATGGTGTCTGTAGGTTGTGCTACACAGCATTTTCTAGAACACAAATTATACCAAAATACGAGTTAGTCGAGAATCGACGTACTAGTCTGTCTGTTCATGTATCTTACTTATTGCAAAGGACTGTTAACTCGATATAAGGAAGCACAATGTTGTATGCTCGTGCGTTAGATGCTACATGGAACTAGCTGTGGAAGAAGTGCTTTGGGGTGCGGGTACACGCATCCTAGTTGCCACTTAGACAGCCTCGGAAAACTACCTGCAAGCAACGAAGTCCGCAGCCGCTTCTCTGCTAACAATTGAGGTCTGCTTTCGCTGATTCAAATAACCAGAAATCCGTGTCTAATGTTTCCTCCGCATTCAATGGTCCTAGAAGCCGGCGATTATGTAGCGCTCTGAGAATCCTACGCCTCTATATAGATCATTAGCCTCCATATCGATATTCACAAAGAATTCAGAAAGTGTGAAACTGCTGTAGCAGTTCATTTATGATAAACTGTGTGGCACCTCCGAATTCTGGGCAATCGATATAAAAAGACAGAGCACGAAGTCCTGAGCGGACAGCATGTAGTGCTAGCCAGCTGGACGTAAAGGCCTGCGCTCGGTCACCTTTAGGTGTCTCGTAAAGCCTGCCTATCCACCAGAATCAAGCCTCCAGTCTCGGAACACACAACCCGCTGCACGCGACTTCCTCTGCATGAATCAAGCCATCATTGACGTATTCCTCCAAGATAAATACCTCAACAAGCACTCGCCTCGCTAATCCCAGGAGAAAAAGGCAAGCTCATCTCTCCTGGTTGATGAATTCTTCAAGTGCTTGCCCATCCTTACGGCTGCCATACTCTTCTGGCTTGCGTGACCTCGTCGACGCATCAATAAACATTCGACCAGCTGACAAAGCGTGCCTTGTTAGCAGCTATGGAGCTCCTGCATTCACATCTGCTTGTAGACCGGCCTCTGCCGCCGCAAGAGGCACTGTGTAGCCTTCTTCTTCCATTACCGGCGGGATTATTTTTCTATCTACTTGATTAAAGCTATAGTTTGAATGAGCAAGTGACTGTATCAAATCCAAAAAACTGGTGCAGGTAAATATGAAATCTCACTACATTCACAGCCCTTGGATGAGGGGCAAGTAGGTGCATCTAACCAGGCAATATTACCAGCTTTAGCGTTCCATCGTTGGTCTCCAGAGAGGGACGCTAAAATCCACACTCAATACAAAACTGATAGCGTATAGAGGATTTATAACAATAACTGTGACCTTCACCTGCTCGCGGCGCTCAGGGCTCCTGAGATGAGCCGAGGAGGATGCGCGTAGCCGCACTTTTAAAGCACCCCGGGTACTTCGAGGCATTCTAATTCCTACAAAGCAGAGACGCACGCACCATTGCGTCTTCTTTTAATGAGCTGCCAGTAGTCTGCAATAAATAAGATATACGAACAGACCAACTACTTAATCAAATTTGAGAATTTCGATAGAATATAGCTTGCATAGTAAGTAGTGCATCGCTTTGGATTAAAAGTCCCGGTACAGCGAATGCTCGGAGTGCTTGGAACGGCAGAGCTACGCGCACTCTAGCTGTTGTCTCCTCATGTTGGTATCCCAAAGGGCGCGGGCAGGGAAAGGCAGGCAATTCGCGATAAAACTGTGTAAGTTTCTGTTGAGCTTGTATCAAATCTGGGCTTGAGTATCTCCGAAGGAGATTATTGATGGAGTGTCACACATCATGTGAGGACAACACTTCTATTTTCAGGTGACTAGAAGAGGATCTAACCAAGCTTCGTCGTCATGACAGCCGTTCTTGCTGCTTCTAAGGATGAAAGAACATTACGTGCAACGAGGTGATAAACAAAGGGTAGGAAAGGAAAAACTGGGGCCCGATGGCAGAAATGCTTCAAAAGGGGTCACACGGAACAGCTGAAAGTGCCAAAGATGCATAAAAATTCAAATAAGTAAGAAAAGATGCTCACGGAATTTCTTTTTTCTGTGTTGGGGTAGAGTGTGTTTTGACCCTGGCCAGTGTCTGCCCGTTCCGGTCAGCAAAATAACTACATGCTCAAAAATTTCGCGCTAAAATTGACATTCTGTATCAGCTAGGTCTGAGCTGTGGGGTCCAGGCAGCACTATATCAAACTTTTGCTTCGCAGAGTTTTTTTGCACAGAAGAGCATGTGACCATGCTAAGGTGCAGACAGCACAAGGGAAGAAGACCAATTGCTGTTAGTGGAGGAGTAGAACCCCCTAAAATCTCTGATACGAAATATAAATAATACAATTCTAGCATATTATGGATTATTTCGTTCCTGTGTGTCACCTGATGAACTGCAGAGGGAGGCCAACTCCAGGGCCCCCTTCGCTGCACACACGCAAAGCAGTGGGCTAAAACCACAGTACAATCCCCAAAACATTCTGTCTGTTTTATTTTCCTGCTTCGTTTCTAACTATTAGGCTATGAATAGCCTTGCTTTTCGGTATGTTTCTGCGTTCTTTGAAGGGGACAGCCAGCTACAGGGCTTGTCTCCTCATTTATCTTTTTTCGCTGGTCTCTAGGCAAACCTGCTACGGTTTCCCGCGAAACTCACCTACGTATTGTGGCTCATTAGGATGCTTCACTCTGTCCCGTAGCCATTTTCGCAGCAGCATAAGCACCACTCAAGGCAGCAGCTTACTGTCTGCACAGTCCTACCCTTGTCTGTCGTGCGCGCACGCGGTTCTGTAGAGTGGCTTCAGTCTTACCTCCAAAGACTTATGAGTACCATTTGCTAGAACCCCCTGCGTGCTGTCTAAATCCGACCACGACAGCAACGTGGAGTGCTGCCCAGCAGGCGGGAGGCAACCGAAAAAACAGGAAAGGGCAGGACCTAAAAGAGGGAAAGAGCAGCAGGATGAAGCAGCAGCAAAAGGTGCAAATCCGCTACTCTACCGGCTGGAGACTGGCAGTCGTACATTATGAAGCAACAAACGCTTTGGGAAGCTGCAATGGATGGACAGATGCAGACCTCCAGGTCCACCTAAAGTCTAAGTTTAAGCCCTCAGCTCTGAATCCTAAACAATCAAGTTCAGCTCATGGCTTTGATTCCTAGGCGGCGATGGGAAGAACCTCTGAATGTCATGGGGAGTGAGTCTGGCTTGGTAATCTAGGGCTTCAGGCTAGATTTGTGTATGTGATACAGCCTAGTAATGTGGATGGTTGGCAGGAGGGCATCCTCTGTCTGCCTTCTGATGCGGAAAGGATAGAGTTTGTTTTCAAGGATAAACTCAGCAATTTGTGGGACAATCCCCCAAGGCTCAATAGATTAAAGTGGGGCTCTCGTAATTGGATGTAGTAAAACTTGAGTCAGGGTCAGCTTTCTGCTTTGCTCCTGTTCGTCTTGATCTGTCTCCATATGCCTTTCTGTTTGTCTGTAGGCAGCACATTGTCTAGCATAGCATGAACTCTGCCATATGTTTCTTCCTGTTCTACTGGAGTTGGTTCCAATCCCAGAAAACAGTTTCATCGAGGGGTTTATGTATAACCTTTAAGGAATGCGCTGTTTGGGTGTCTACAAATTAGGGTTTATGGTGTCTTGTCTCGTTCAAGGATCAGAGTTCTTGGTGTTATTGTCATTGTCCTTGTTCTGCTTGTCTTGTGCAGTCGGTCCAATTATTTAGTGGATTTGGAGAAGAGGAATTGTGAAGAGTTGCTGGTGGTAGTGGCAGATGGGGAGGCGGCTGCGGTGTACGTAGACCCCAAAGGGGCAAACAAGGTGTTGATTGTGACAGACCTAGACGGCACCCTGATAGGGCACGATGAGTATTTGGCCAGCTTTAAGAAGCACTGGACTCTTCACCACTTCTGGAGAGGCTCCAAGCTGGTAAGCGGGCCGCGGCTGCTGCTGGGGTCTAGGTCCACCGCAAGAAGTGGCAGAACGTACTGCTGCAGGCTTATTCTGCAGCGCATGCGAGGAGTTTCCCAGGTATAGAGGACCAGAGGTGTCACCTCTTGCTGTTTTTGTTTCCTCTATGCCTCTGCTTGTTGTTCCTCCCCATTGTCAACTTGTGCCATTTTCCTCCGCCAGTGCCCATTGGTTGTGCTTGTTGCGTTGGCAGCTTGCACGTATGAGAGCCCTTGTAGATGGCGTAAGTGACTTTGTGCTTCTCCTGCCTCACCTTATGCATTCGCCGGTGCTACTCTTTTGGAGCGTCCCAGGTGTACAACACTGGTAGAAACTTGAAGGACTTCCTGAATGCTGTAGGAGAACACAGACTCCCCAAACCAGACTTTGCCATCCTCGGGTGAGCCCGGTCGTAGCTGATGCTGCCACTACGGATGTTGTTGCTGCCGCTGCACTTGGCAATTGTTACAACTGTGCTACGGTTGCTACTGATGATGTTGCCTCGTGTGTCACTAGTTGGGGTGTGTGTGCAGCGTAGGTACTGAAGTGTATACCTTTCCGGGTGTCTCCGCTCCTGATCATTCCCATTTCTGCTCCCTCCTTACCCCAGAAGAGCAGGAGAAGCATCAGGGTCCGTGCACTGCAGACCCTAAAAAGCAATCCCTGTGCTGCAAACCATAGAAATACGTGGCTTTTGGTTTCACAATTGGTCAATTAGAATTTTTGGCTGGGGGCTGTGGTTTGCGGCACAGAGGATATGGCCCATAGAGGGGAGTGCTGGCCAGAGTGGTGCCCTGAGCGCCTCTTCGCGAAGCTTGAAAAGGAATGGATCGACAGCATACGTCATCAATTCAGCAGAAAAGAGGCTGAGGAGTTTATTAGGGTCGGAGCAAACAGGTTTTTGCGTGTTGTCGTGGACCAACTCATCTTTCTAGGGTGTACTGTACCTTTATACACTTCTCCCCTTTCACCTTTCCTTTGTCTTTTGCAATTCGTTATTTTCATTTATTCGCGTCTTTAATTATCACCTGGACCTTCCCGTTGCACCGCACATTCCGATTCCCTTTGCTTTTTGCTTCTCCGTGGTTTGGTAGATTTTGGTCCACCTAGTGAAATTCGGATTTCTCCAACCGTACCGGTGTTTTGTGTGCCTATGTGCTTTCCTAATTGATTCTGCCTCATTTCTTTAACTCCCATATGTTTTCAGCGAGAGTTGGAGGGCGAATTCTACATAAATGGGAATGCCTTTCACGACCCGATGCGTCTCTCTGTCTCAATTCCCGTCAGCCTCCTTGAACAGCACATCAAGGACCCCCACTCCTCCTTCTGCTCCCAATTAAAAAGAGGCTACAAAGTGTGCATCAGCGGTGGAGGAGACTGGCGATACCTCGATCTTCTACCCAAAAATGGTAAGTGAAAGATAGAGGCACACAAGCAGACAGCCACCATACTTTGGTTCTAACGCTCCATGTAATTGTTGCCTGGTAGGGACATCCATGTATTCTGTCTCTTTTACGCGCCTTCAGTTGTTGGAGAGCGAGTAGTTTCTAGAAACATCTTTTGCATTTATTTGCGCCAAACATCTACGGTTGCGAGAAGACGGTTAACGAGATACCCTCACTCTCCCTCCTCGCGCAACTGGCCCTTCTTAAAGGGAATAGCTGTAGAAAATGGAAAGTTTCTGGTATACGGTATATCTCCCCCAACTGATGCCTCTTGCTTCTTAAGCCATCTGTCTGTATCCTCTTTGTCTTCCTGCCTCTCAGGTGGGAAGCTCGGTGCAACCCTCTTTGTAATGCGCAAATTGGGTTTCACACCTGAAAGGGTGAGGGGTTTAAGATAGGTTGCTGAATGGCTTTTTCAGTAATATTCTTCTTAAATATAGGGTTGATATGCCATCGCAAGTTCTTCATTTAGCGCTGCTGTCTGTATCTTCAATGCTTCTTCAGCCGTTTGCTTGTTTTTCGTGTGTACACTTGATTCTGCGGCATTCCACTTATTGTATCTCCACATGGTATCTACCATATTGCCGGAGGGCTATTTGCATGGATGCGCTTTTCCTCAGACGATGGTCTGTGGTGACAGCGGGAACGACATTGACATGTTCGCACATCCTACTTTGCTTGGTTGTTGCGTCGGGAATGCACACGAGGTCCTCGTGACCTTTCTTAAAAAGCAAGCGAAAGTTAACTATCAAACGAGTGCAGGGAATGGACCCAGCGAATCACCCACAGAAATGAACACGAATCCAACTTCAAAACGCCACCCTGATTCGCCACAGCAAGCGGCTGCAATGGTAGACGCAGGAAATGAATTAGAAGGAGAGGAGCCCTTTTTCCTCAGAGACATGTACCCAACCCCAAATGTACACCTTTCAAAGCAACCCCGCAAATATGCCCCCTGGAGCTGATCCTCGCTTCCCTATTGAGACAGGTGCAACTACTAGTAGTGTATGCTCAGCACATACCGCTGAACTGTCTGTCTTACGGTCTGTTTTCAGGTCTGCTTCTCGCGGTATCCTTGCGCCGGTAGGGACCTTGGTAATTTTGACCTATGCGTCCACCGCTCAGGTCTACCACGGCTTGAACCTCATCTCCCCCTACTTTGCTTTTCCTCTGGCGGCTTCTGTGGGTTTTTGCTTCAGGAGGTATCTTAGATGCTCTGCGCTTCTTCGGATTTGATTCGCACATCGAAGGTGTTCCCTAAGCCAGCTTAGGTGCGCCCCGACAACTTCCTCGTCGGATGTTCCCCCATCTGCTACCTTTCGATCTAGTTAGATAGCCAGTTCGCTAGTGAGGTCTGCCTCTCCACTTAATCCAGCCATCCACTGCTTTTACGCACAGCAGAGACCATGTATCTACACTGGTCTTACATTGAAAGGTGCAGGAAAACTTGCTAGTATTCCCAGCGCTGCACATTTTCTAAGGCTTCCTACGCGAGCAACAATACCAGAAAGGAATTATCCAGTTAACTGAGGGATTCCCCAGTGCGCCTATCAACACTTGTGCGAATGCAACAAAAGGGGACAATGCCTTCCTCTGTCCCCTCTGTCAGCACCACCCCGTTCGCTGCTACAAAAAACTTCAGACCCATGCCTAAGGCCTTTTCAAAGTCTAGAATGAGTAGTAGATTGCAAGATGCCCTAAACCCAGAAAAACAACCGAGAGATTTATTCTCTTCTGTGTCTTCTACCTTATTCCGACTTGCCAAGGATATATCCGAAAGGGAACCAGTCCACGCGCCATAAAAAGGAGTGAAGTGTACATGCCGTCTCCCCATTCGTTTAAGCCCTTCATTTTTTATGCTTTCCCATAATCGTAAATACGTGCCATGTACCAAAGTGACTCCTCTCGCCTGTGCACGCTCCCTGAGGGCCCCCGCAGGCCCATTTAGAAGCGCGTCTTCCAGTTCTTCAGAAGAGTTAATGCAGCAACAGAGGAGGTCGCTCTGCACGTTGGGGATCGAGTGGCCTTGGGTGGCGCGGATATACACAGTAGCAGCTCCCCCTGTGCATTGCATGCAACAAACGCCTCCTGCCGGAAGAATCCTCATTGATTTTTGAAGCCCCACAGCAGAGGGCAAGGAAGTGGAAGGAGGGACTTCAGCTATCCCTAGTTGAAATCGTTGTTTGGCATCTGTAGACACGATGGAGAAAACGTCAGAGATGGAAAACTGGTGGTTTTCAGCAAGTAATAAAACAGCGACGACAGACACAAATCCATCTGGGCGCACAAAAAGGCCCATGCGGGGCCCCTCATGACGCAGCAGTTTGGTCAGCCTGCGGGAAAACTTTGTGAAGGCGTTCTGGCTGCTTGCTGGGTGTGTTCTCCCATGTGAAACAGAAAGGCTTGGGGCTGCAGTTCCGAGCTCTTCGAATGCCGCCTGAGTTGTATGTGCAGCGCTGTCGCCGCAGAAAACGCAAACGGTAGGTCGTTCCAAACAGCGGTTCATCGGGGGAGCCTTCGAAAACTATGCATAGCCGATACTAGCAGGTAAAAGTTTTCCAAAGAATATTGTGCATTAGGTCCAAATGCTGAAAGCTTAGGGGGATGGACAGGCAGGAGTTTTGGAAAAACTTCCATAGGGCGAAGAGAACAGACGCGTACCGAGGAATGTGTCTGCCTCTGCTGGTGGTGGACCAAGCGTCCTGGCAGCGGCACGACCATCAGAGCCTTATCAACATGGATCCTTCAAGGAAAGTGTACAGATGGCATCTGCTATAGAATACTCAAGTTAACGGACCCAGAGAAACCTGGAATCAGCACGCATGCAAGGTGATGGGGTGGAAGTCCAGGGGCTCTGTCACGGGCGGTAGAGGTTTTAAAAGGATCAAAAGAAGTAAAGCCTATATATCAAATTAGAAGTACGCAGTCAAAAGAATAATGAACCTAAGGGATAAAATTAAGAAAGATATCAGCGAAAGCCCCACCTAGGCTCCTGGTGGTCCACCGCCCCGTCGTACTGTAGCCATGTGGTGTAACTTTCCTCCCAAGCACAACCGCAGGAGGGCTGATGAAAACTCAACCAGGGGTATTATATAGAGAATTGAGACCAGATTGTCTGAGTTCGGTTTCATCTCAGTCATGTTTTCTTTTTACCCTCTTTCTCAGCAAGGGCCAGCACCCCTTGTCTATTCCCTTTGACACTGCCCAGTGTTACAGTGGACGAAGGGCATCGCCCTCCTCTCATTGTTATTTAATGGTGTTGTCATGACTGTATTGCTAATAATTTGGGTAGGGCTGTAAAGATTCTCTCCACCCCCGTGCACGTACGTATGCTTCAAGCACAACCGCCAGTGTAGCAATACCTCCCGTGCTTCGTTTTGGCCCAACTGGCTGTGATTGTTGCTCTTATTCTTCTTTCTTTTTGAAAATACAACGGGACGAGCTTTGCCGGAAAACAGAATCGAAATTGGTCGGGTCCTATTCGTCTTCGCCCCTCCGACCCCGCTTCCCCGGCCTCAGGCTTCCGGCGTATTCTGGCAGCCTCTTCCGTGTTATTTTTTGATGGTGATTTACACCAATCCATCGGTACCTAAACGCACTTGAGTTTGGGCGCTGAGGGTATAGACTTCTTGTCGCTTTTGTCTTCCGTCTTTTTTGTTTCCATTTCCAATCCAGCAATGTGGAGCTTCTCATCGGCCTGTACCCCTGCCCACAATCCCAAGTTTCGGGAGGAGTACTTCTGCCTTCATGGTCCAAATGGTCCTGAATATACATTACAGATTCAAGCCCACGGGTCACGAGAGAGCCCTTTGAGGACCCACCACTGGGGTGCTCCCCAAGGTTCCCTCTCCGGGGATGCCTTAAGCACAGGGGCTTCTTTGGGGGCCTCCAACAGGAAAGAAGAGTATATGTCCCTCAGCCCGCATACAAGTATATGCGCTTCCACTTGCTCGAGCGATTTTAGGACTTCGGCGTCATCCAGTGTAGAGGGGGCCCCCTTAGGTGTATACCTTAGGAGCCCCCCATCACCAGGGCATGCAGAAGCCCCGTTATGTAGAGTGAAGAGACGTCTTGATATGGAGGGCCCATCTGATTTAAAGCAGCAGAGGGTTTGCGGCGTTTGGCATGTGGCTTAGTGTACGTAAGGACACGTGACCCCCAGGTAAAGGGGTCTTCGAAGTATTTTCCACTCCATTAGGAGACATACGTTTTTTTGGTTTCTGTTTTTAGAAAGAGGAGACGGATGAACTGCGCCCACAGTGCGCTTTAAATGTGGCAACAGCAACTGCGCCATCAGGCAATGATAGCCAGCCCAGTACATGACAAGGGGCGCTCAAAGATGTGAACCGCAGCAGCGTATGCCGATCACCCTGTTCAAGGCATTTTTGCTGCCAGGCCCCTTGATGCAGCTACAGGCCCGTGCACACGTGCAAGCGTTGCTGTTTTGCGTTTTGCCCATCACCTACGGGGCTTTATGCTGCTCATTCATTCAGAGACTAAGCAAGCGATTAAACGCTGTTGACATTAACTCACTCGTTTTGCATTCAACGTTTTCGTAGCTTTCTGATGGAACGGCGACGAGCTCTTGGTGGCTTTGACGCTATAGTTATCAATATTTCCAGGAACTGCAAGTAGAGGAGTATGTGGCTATATAGGTACACAAGCACGGACTAAAAAATGGGTGAATTCTGAGGGTGGCCAACCAAACCGGAATTAGAGCGAGTAGAACGACGCAGACCTCGGCGTCCTTACGCACTAGCTTTTAGTTTGGAACGGGGTTTGCATCTATTTAGTCGTTGGAATCCTGTTGGGGTGCCTACCTTATCTATACTGCATATTCCACCTGTGACTGAAGGACATGAGAATAGAGTCTCTTGCGGCTTGAACGAGACACGCGTCATTACTGGCAAGTGTATTGTAGTTCTCAGCATCCCCGAAGGCCAGGGCTAGCCTCAGATTTGTTTAATTTGTTGTAGCACCTTGAAGAGTTAAAGAGAATGTATGAACATATTGCTTCTGATGAGGAAGGCCCAGATTCCGAGGCAGCGGCGGTGGGCAGGTCTTTGTAAGCCCCTTGCCCTTACTGCTGTCAGTGTAATTGCGCGCTGCACGCACTTTTATCCGCTGGGGCTCGCGTGGCTGCATTGAGCCGGTATACTTCATTTAATGAGGCACAGAGGGCAAAGAGGGTCTTGGGATATCTGTAGTGTACAGACGAAGCGAGCGCTCCTGGAGGGAGAGTTTTCTGCTACAGGCCTAGCCATCCTGAGGCTCTCTGCTTTCCTTTCAATCAGCTTTGACAGAACAGGCAACAGTTCCACACGAACAGAGGGAAAGCCTTTAAGGTTTTATATTTGTACTCTCCGTGGACCGAGACGTACACCGAGTGAGCCAGGGCCCCACCTGCGTCAACGCCGGTGGAAGGGCTGCCGTAGTGTATGCATATTTGCTTCATTCTCTGTCCTGTTACCTTATGCAGTGCAGTGCACATTGAAATGCCCTGATTTTTATTGTTTGATTCGCTGTGCGGCGTCTGTGGTATGGCTGTACTGTGTGCAAAGTTCAGGTGTACCGGCAGCTCAACACCTCTTTTAGAGGGCCCCTGCCCTTGGCGGCACCAGTGAAGCCTCTTACCTCCTCGTATCCCTTTAATTATTTGCTCAACTTAGTCACACCTCTTCTTCATTTCAGAGCAAAAACTGCAAACCGTGCAAACGACCCCCAACCCCCATTGGCTGTTCTTTTGGAGGAGGTATGTAGCCGGGCCTCTTCCTTCCTTGGAAGGGGGTTCCGAGTGCCCCTTCAGTGCCTACCTGAGAGCTTCTTGAGGCCCTCACCAGAGAGCTTAACAATGTCCAGTAAACAGTACCGGAGGCAGCATTGCCCTCTCGGTCAGCAGCAGCGGTGTTTGTATGGAAGGCAGACGACTACTGTCTGCTATTGTTTATATGAAGACGACCCTGCTAGAGAATAGTCTTTTTCCCATTTTCTGCCTTGGGTGACTTGTTGGGGCGGATTGGGCTGTGCGGTTACGACTCTTTACTGGTAGCCCCTCTGCCGTGCATTTCCCTCGCTGCACCGATACTGTCGCTTGTGCTGTTTGCGTGTCCCCGTCTACTGCTTAGGCCTGGGGTATGCATATCCCAATTGAAAATGGAGTCTTTTGCGCCAGAATGTGACAGCCAAGGCCTTGACTCTATCCCTCCCTCGGTCGCAGGGGACCAGACTTTGCAAGAGGCACCAGGGGCACCCTCTTGTTTAGAGTCCACAGCAGAGAGCGAGGGGGCCCCGCCTCCGATGGGCCCCCACGTTGAGGCTCAAGATGGGAGCTCCACGGGGGCTCCTGAGGATGTGTCGAAGCCCTGGGGTTTAGGGGTAGAAGAAGCACCTCCCCGTTTCATAGAGCAGCCATATGCGGATGGCGTGAACATCGACAAGCTGCACCAGTTTCGAGCTCAGTTGCATCAGCTCTCCAGGCAGAAGGACGGACTTATGCCAAATCCAGGCAAGCCAAATCTAGGATCCACGGCATAAGAGTTGATTTCGGTATACGGTAATCTGATGCATCCACTGCTTTGTCGTGGCCCAGTTTTAAAATAATTCCCTTTTGAAAACAATAGTAGTCCGGCGCTTGTTTTCAATATCTTTGCATGTTTGTCTTCTTTGCAGATGGAACTTTTCCAACTGAGTGGCTGAGTCTTGCCTGGGAATACCAGGCCCTTGCTGAGCATGTGATTCGCTCCGCTTGGCCATGCTGCTATCCTGAAGGCCTTCTCCCCTGTGTCTCACAGCAAGTAGACTATCTAAAGAGGAGGCTAGAAGTGTGCTTACGCACGTTCTACTTTCTTTGGAGGGGTCGTGGGGAAGGCTTGTTCAAGGTTTTAATGCCGTTACTATTTGGGGTCTATACGCGATGTATCGTTTAATTAACGTGTCAGACCATTGCCATGAGTTCCGTGGTCTATATAGCCGTGGATGAAGTACATTGCATGGGGCCACAGCGGTTGCCATTTCCTCTTTAGGACTTAGGGCGTTCAATGTTTGTGCGCATATGATTCAGGAATTCCCGTCAATCCCTACTTCCGAAAAGGACAAATTTCAAAGGTTATTTATTTTGGCTGCCTTGGGGATCATTGCAAAAATGAAGCTCGTTACATTTTGCTGGACCTTCGTAGAGCTGAAGCAAAACGAAGCAAGGGCAGGGGGACGCGGAATGTCTCTCTATTTGTCACAAGCAAGGCAAAGCCCATTGAAAACAAAGCGCATTGCTGCCGCTGCAGGAGCAGTGGCGGGAGGCCTTCTTAGCACTGGTAGTGCTGCTGCTGTAACAGGGCTGCCCTCACCTGGAGACATTGAGCGCACGGAATACACCACACGGTCGGGCAGGAAGACACACAGAACTGCAATGAAACCTGAAAAGTCCTAGATGCCCCACATGAATAAAAGTCCTGCCACCCACGGTGTCCCTAGAAGCCACCTAGGGACCATATTCAATGGTGGCACCTCCACAATGCTTCATGGGAGCGCTGTTTTTGCCGAGAGCAGAGCTTGTAGACCCCAATAGGATGCTTGTGTGGACTTCAACGAGCCCTGAAGGGCCCCTGGTGGCCCCCTTCAGACTTCCAGCAAGTGCATTCCTTCTGGCTGCCCGCATAATGTGGCGTAAATGTTTAAGAGAGTTCTTTGGAGGTGTGCCCCCCCCGTTAATTTTGGGGACCTCATCTGCCAGGGCTGAGGGGCTCCCCGAATAGCGAGCATAAGTACCGCCATGGTGGCCTCGGGATCTTGTACTTTTCTACGGGCCTGCTTGAAGGCAGAGGGCCTCCAATCGAGTCTTTAGGAACTTTTTCGTTTGAAATTAACACAGAGACAGTCCATACGTGTTTCTGTCGTATACATTGCCCTTGCCGCTGCCCAATGCTTTCTAGTCCTGTCGGTTGACGCTTACGGATTTTACTTGTGACGGAATCACATCGTAAAGGTTGGACCTGATGTGCCCCGTAGGGGTATGGCACAAATGTTTTCCGCACGCTGCTTCCGTTGCAATAGTTCTTACTACGGCTTGTTTTAGGAGTTCTGGGTGGTCTTGTGGTTCCCGTATCTTGGCTTCTTTGTACGCCTTAAGGTGTGAGCGAAATTTTGAAGTTAAATATGACAAGGGTAAAGCAGACTGCGTTGTGGCTGTGGGCTGTCGCGCATCTTGACTCCAAGCATCAAATTGGTACATCTCAGCAAGCTACTGCAGCTCCCTCTGCGTCCTTTGTTGGCTAGTTGCAGCTATGTGCCTAGCCCTAGAGCTGCAACAAAACACAGCTTCCCCCGACGTGTCGGAAATGGGGGCAGGACGGAAGGAGAAAAGAGCGGTATGGAGGATGCAAAGAAATCATGGCGGCAGGGCCTCAAATAGCAGAGGCGGCTGGGAGAGCGAGATGCCTTAGCAAAAAAACTATTACACCCCCGAATGCCCCCCCTAAGCAGCCTACTAAGCATTGCATCTCTGAGTGGTCATCTAGGTAGTACCTGGCCCACGGCATGGGGGCGAACGAGGCGACGGCCAAAGAAACACACAAAAGGCGAGGAAGAAACGAAGAAGGAGACACCGCAGCCTCTAGAAAAATCCACACCATATACGCATACGACACCAAACAGTGGGAAGAAGGCATTCCTGGGGATTTCACAAGAGAGAGAGATGGGCGAGGCTCTTGAATCCACCGCTTGAAGAGATGCTCGTTCAACAATGTCAGGAACACCTGCACAACCTGAAAAAAAAAAAAGTTAAAAAACCGTTTTATTGCAGAAGGAGGACGAGGACAGCAATCATTAGAGCTTAGCGCAAAACAGGATTTAGTGGAATAAAGTAGCCATGAATATTTGAGGTTCAAGGTTTAGTACTTAAAGGCTTGAGTTAAGAATTTGTCACCGCAGCATAAAAGGGCAAGACATTCCAGGTTGAGATGGCTCTGAGGATGACGAAGAAAAAGAAGACGAAAGGCAGGTAACTGTATCCCACGGCGGCTAGTTTCGACGGGGTTAGGGGCTTTCTGATAGTCACGGAAAAGAGGGAAAATGCATTAGAAGCTCCTCCTTCCTCGAGGTCCTTTTCACTTGTAACTAGGGCCCTCCGAGCGCGCTGGAATTCTGCTGCTACTCCTTGCCAGGTTTTCGCAGCAAGTGAGAGAACCTTTCCTGAGCCGGTAAGAGGTGTAGCCTCTGTCACTGAGCAGCCCCCTAGAGGGCCCCCGAAAAAGGACTTGTTGTCATCTGCTTGTGCGTAAAAAGAGCGGACCACTGCTGTCTCGGCGTCTACTGCTACACCAGCAGCTGCAGTAACAGGGCTCCCACATGGGCAACGAAGAGCGGTTGAGAGGAGCTGGCTATTCGTGGCGCCATCTACCGACGAGGGCGAAAAACGAATGGCCTCAGAGACGGACATAGACCCTATCATCCTCAAGTATCCGAGAGGAGAAAAAATGCAGGACGGGAGGCGGAGAGGGTTGCGGTGGGCGTGCTTACAAAAGATCTGCGGGAGGCGAAACAGGAACTGACACCCAGCTATATACCTTGGGGTCCTTTTAAAACGTTTTATCTTTGATAATTAACCCTGTTTCATTGCAGTGAAGCTTCACCTCTCTTACTGAGATGTGGGGCCGCACCACGCCGTGAGGGTCACCTGTGGGGAAGGAACACCTAAATGAACTGCACAAGTACCATTGCACTTTTTTTTCTATCAAAATTTGAATGAACCAAAATCTTAATGGTAGGGGATTAAAGCGCATAGCAAGAAGAGGGTAATATAAGGCTCACCAGAGAGGCTTTCAACAGCGGTGTTCCACTGAGCGGGAATGCGAAGTGTGGCGCCCGCTGCAATTTTCTTGGCTGCTGTAAGAAACTAAGTAGCAACTATCATGAATCCCCGTGAGTTGCAGAGTTTCATTGAACGCTTCGCTAAAATTGAATTAACTGCCGGACGGCAATTAGCTGCTTGTTGCTTTTATTAGCTTCAGGCACAGCACAGCAAGACTACAAAGAATCTATGCGAGAGGGTCAAAGGTGTCTTTTTCTTTTTAGAAATTAGACATCAATGCAAGGGCTAAATGGTGCATATGTTTAAAGGGAACTACCGTTGCGTGTAGACAAGCCGGGAGTGATTATCTTCTGCAGGGAGGCAGGCGGCTACCTAGCGGCCAAGACTACACTTGAAGGTGTTGTACTGCATTAATGGTATTGGCCCCCAAAATAACTTGAAATTGAATAATTAGATTGTCTGTTCGTGTACCTTATTTACCGTGGAGTACTGCCATTTCGATGCAGGAAGACGAAAGTGCAAGTGTGCCAAATGCTATGTGCAGCCAGTGGTGAATGCAGAGAGTGCTTATAAGTGTGCCAAATGCTATGTGCAGCCAGTGGTGAATGCAGAGAGTGCTTATAAGAAAAAACTAAGTGTACCCTATATGAGCCTCTAGCTCAATGTCAAGAGCTATGAGGGGCGTATGCATAGAAAGGCAAGAGTTTTGAGGAAAAATACTCAATATGCCCCTCCTAAGTATGTACGTGGTTGGTGGTTAATGGCCTCCGTACACAAACCACGAAAGGAGCATTGCATTCGGTAGCACCAGTTTGCTTACTAAATCTGTGCTCCGTATTTTTACTGGCTGGGGATACAGGTAGGTATCTGGATTCCCCACAACATCTGCGTGGTTCAGATCAAGTTATTAAGGTTTTTTTATTATCCAATTTGTCTTTGCAACACTGTGCAGAGCACCTCGTGGCGATGGACGCTGAGGCTAGCATAATGTCTCCTGGGATGGCAGACGCCTGCTTGCAAGCTGATATGAACGCAGGAGCTCCACAGCCAGTAGAATGGCGTGATTTTTATCCGGTAGAATGATTTATGAGTGTCTCCAAGAAGTTATACACACCAGACATTTTTTAACAGCAGTAGGGATAGGCAAGTGCTTGAAGCCTTCATCAGCCTGTTGGAGGTGGATGTCTCGTTCGTGCCCCTCACTAATCGAAAAGAGAGCTCTTTGTGGTATGCTTGTGATGAGAAGGAGCAGTGCATTGGTAGCTCAATTTATGTACGGAAAATCCTCTGCTTGCACGGACTAATACATTTGGAGCACACATGGATAACCTAGCTTGTCGGCCCCTTTTTGCTAAGATCGACTCGAAAGCAAGCTTTGGGAGTACTGAGAAAGCTGAAGCAGGGGAATCCGCCAATAGATCGAGATGCTGTTAAATATGAAATTCTGGCTCTCAGAAGCCACAAACTATACGATCACTTGTTTTGTAGCTAATAGTTGGTCTACTCGAAGCGTCACATAAGGCAATCGCAGGGTGGGGTAGCCACTCAGCAACTAATAAACCAATCAGCAGACCTTCCATAAATGAACAGTTACTTACGTTTTAAGAGACAAAAGAGCAAATTTTTTGCGTCTTTGGCTATAAAGTGACAAGCTGAAATTAAGAACCTATGGGGATGCGTCAACTGGTCCCAACCTATAGTCTCAGCTGGACGAGAGAAGAAAGTCAAGGAATCCGTTCTCCGAAGCAGCCCCAGGCAGTTTACACACGCACCGCCTGCCTCTCGCGTGAGAGATTGAGGCACGTCATCCAGAGCTGCAAATGCATCTAAAATGCCAAGAAATTGGGGCAACGGGAGTGGGTTTCGCGGACGCCGGCTCGACAAGGAAACGAACAGCCCCCCTTTCCTGGCTCTGGTGCTGTACAAGGGAAGCTAAGGAGGGTGGTTCCACACTTGAAGACCCACCAAGGATGAATTATGTGCTAATTCTGGTCGGGATTACTAGAAAAAAAATGCTATCATTACTTGACACTCGGTGTCAAATCAATCTAATATCCGTGGATACGGGGAAGGAGTGCAGCTTTCGTGTTTACTCGATAGCGCCGTCCCTAAGGATCAGCTTTGCTGACTGGGGGCCAAACGCACGGACAGGCAACGCTGTAGCAGCTAAATGCCACTTTACTTGGAATTGGGTCCTGTATGCATGGTCCGTGACTTCTATATTGGATGCGTTGGCAATGACAAAACCCTAGGTACGCCATGGATGACTGACCAGATGGAAGGCGTGAAAGTGGCCACCGTTGCGTACTTTGAAGGTTGTTGTTTGAGAAAGTCATAGGAATAAGCTTGTCCTGGTCATTCTTATAACGCTCACCTCATCTATGGTATACAGGGCAGATTCGATTTCTGAACAAAATGAGACAGAGCTTGCATGCTGCAGTGCAGTAAGAGAAGGCGGCTTCAAGCACGCATCCAACCTTAAAGGCTCTCCAAGTAAGTTGTTAGCAGAAATTTTAGTTGAAGGCTCAGCAGCTGAACAGCCGGAATAAGCAATTGTCAGGGAAGATCTTGTGGATATGCAAAACAATGACGAGCAGCAAGTACCATGACCACCTGCAGGTTGACCAGTGCACTGTATTGAGTTGGTTCCCGGGTCAGCCCCACGCTGTCTTCCGCTACAGCGGAATCCACAAAGGCATGAGGAAGAAGTTGAGGGGCGGGAAATGATTTTTAAAGCGACACTGTGCACAAATTGACCAGCACTGTTGGGCATTAAGTCCCTGAACAATGTTTCTCTCAAGCAACAGCTTCCGATGCCTCACAGTGGCCAATTATTTGACAAACTTTCAAGGTCAACAGTCTACTAAATATTTTCCGTTACATTCGCTTGCTTATAAATCTCCATTCACCCTTATGACAGGCACAGAACAACGTTCCACACTAGGGTGTGCAGGTTCGAGTATACCTGCATGCTGTATGGGCTTGTTGATGCCCCACTCGAACTACAGTGCCAAGTCGGTAGGGAGCTTTTGAGCCTGTCAACGGAGAATTCGATGGCCGTCCACATAAACAATGTCTAAAAATATAGCTGTAACGTTCGAAAGCACCTTCAGTACCTGCGGCATGAGTCCGACTTGTTGCAGGAGCAGCACTGGTATATGAATGCGTGTAAGTGGTTGCTTTCCGTGAGGAGGACATTTGTGTTTGTGAGAACTGGCGCATTGGCTGCAGGAAAAGGGCCACAATCGGCAAAGATTTGAGCAACCAAGGTGTGGCCTATAACTTGGTCTAGCACCAAAAAATATAGCAAAGCTGTATGAGCTTGCTTCTTGTAGCAAAACCTTTTTCTTGCTCTTACTTGGACCTCTGCACTTTTGACTGATTAGTTTGTTAGAGCCCCTGCCACGACGTGCATATAGGAGGCTGATGCCACAAAGAGAATGGACTTCAATCGCCAAAGATATCCTCCACTATTTACGCTGCCAGAATAAGAGGTTTATTGCCTTCGAACAACCGACGCTAGTGACATGGCGAAGGGTATTTTTCCTCCCAACACGCTACAGGCTTTCCAAATCACCAAGTCAATCCTCGTCGTTTTCATCGTTTCGCCGAAACCGAGCAGTGGAATCCAGCGCAGGAGAAGGAACTCAGTGCAGTGGAGAGCAAAACGTGCCGTTCCTATTTAACTGGGCATCAGTTTGCTGTCAACTTTGATCATCAGTCATCAATGGGCCTTCCGAAGTCTTCAGACTCTAGAATTTTGATAATCGCAAAGTTGTCTGCTGGTTCGAGTGCCTCATACAGGACAACTTAGAGTAAGTCATGTCAAGGGCATCGCCAATGTTGTCGCTGCTGCGCTATCCCGACGTCTCCGCAATTCCTTTAGGCGCAGTGCAGACTGTGTTATCTGTCGTTTGTGGTAAATCATGATGATCGAAATTTGTGTGTGTTTTGCTTTTGACATTAGTGCATCGCGTAATATTGCCAAAATCGAGATTGCCACAAGGACGAAGCACTGCCACACCGAGGAAAGCCTGCCGTGGTTTAAAACAAAGTAAGGCTTTCATCGCTGAGCATTTAGACTTTGCTTTGCAATGCCGTTTGGCGCAACGCACACGATCCTGCTTTTCCCAAGCAATGATTGGTTTCACACTACAAAAAGGAGCTTTCACTGTCTTAGTGGTGGGCTGGGCTGCGTTTTGCGGCAGAGAAGTATGCACTGTTTTGCCAAGGTTGTCAGCAGCCTGTGCCGCGGAAACCTCCGAAGGCAAGCTTGGATAGTATCCTGGGGCTTGAAAACATTCTTCAATGGAGTGCATGGGTAGACTGCCGGAGGTCAAGGGTCAGCATAGCAATTACGTTCTTCTCCATTGGACAATCAAATATGCCTATGTTATCCCTTGCTGCACCTTTGTTGCAGCTCAAAACGTCCCTTAAATGTTCTAGACTCACTTCTGAGCGCTCTGAAATTCCCCAGGAGAGTATAATTACGTATGGAAAGCCCAAGCCTGGTTGTGTGTTCTGCAGTGGCTTCATGAGATGCCCACGTATGGACCAAAATATGACCCGTGCGAGCCGCTCTTGGGCTTGTGGACACACAGTGCGCACCCACCGCACTCTTCTGTAGTATTGCGACTTCA